GGCCAAATTAAAAAACTCGGTTGGCATGTAAGATTGCACGTGATACCGCGTAAGAGTTGCCATCTTAGAACCCGAATTTTGCTCACATTCCGGCATCCCCGTGCTTGTATTTCACTACTGAGAGTGCTTGAAATTAGACACTGCAGGCAAAATGCATTTTCATGATGGCTGTAACTCTTTACATGTAATAGACCTCTGTATCAGCTGTTATCCTGTTATTCAAGAAGCAGTGCAAATTGGGACCTTTGAGACGCCTAAGTTTACGATTTCGTGCGCCTTCGAATGAGGACATGGCCGTTTCTGATGCTTTCAAGGGTGGGTCACGTAACCGTGCCAATAACGAGGCCATAGTCTTTCACATATGGAAAATTGGCGAGCATATTGATATGGGCAAGACAGTCTTTTTTGATCTTTACACGTCCCCACCAAAGTACCATGGAGATGGTTGTCCAATTTGTTTACGTTCAGGCGTATATGCGGCATGTGATCAATGACGACAAAAACATTGAAGCAAACTACGTTCCTTACCCAGTGCAGGATTCTATTCCTTACTTCCCTACCGAAGTAAAAAAGAACTGCCTTGAGGAAATATGTTCTGCAACGAAAAGCGCAGAGACTGCCATAAACTTCGATGACTTTACGCTTAACACCTTCGGACCGACACTTCAAGCTATTTTTATTCGTCCATACAATGAGAAGGTTTGTTGCTTTCAAGACTTATTCATATTATGAATGATTGTTCTAAACTCTGTGAAAAATTTGGTGGATATCTGGAAACTTTAACTTAAGGTGTGGACCGTTCCTCTGAGTGAAATGAATTCCATATGGGTAAAGAATCGTATTCCACGCACCAACATCGGAGACTTAACGAGGCGTTTGCCAACTGAGTCGCGAAGAGCTGGAGGACGAAGAGAACAGAAGATCAGTGTCGATGTTTAGGTGAATTTTTTTCGATTTCCTAAATGTAACTTCTTTAAGTTTCTACGTTTTTCAATATCGAGAGAAGTCTACTGGACAAATAAAACAATGGAAAGACGGTAAGAATTGAATAGCGAGAACTAGCAAACTTTAAGGATGTCGAACGGACGATTAAGTCAAACTGAAACATTTGAGATATCCACGAGACTGTCGTGGTATCGGTGAGGTATGGAAGACGATAGCATCAGAGCTGCCAACGACTTGGTTTCGACTCAAATCAACAGTAATAGAAGTAAATCCGGAAACCAAAACGGTACAGAATATAGTTGTGATCTACTAACTGCAATGCTAGTGTTCCTTTTCTAAAGACATCCGCTTTGCATAAAAAGTCTGCGATTTCAACCTAGGAAAATTTGTGAAAAGAAGAAAACCCTCGTCCGAAAATTCTGAAGCCACATTCCTTTATTTATTATTTGTTGTCAGCAATGGAGTTTGTCGTTTTTAGCTAATTTATGTTCTTCTTTTTTAACAATTTGATCATACTTTAAAGAAAAATATAAAGCAATCACTCTTAAACAGTTGTCCGCCTTCAAAGTTTCGACGATGCGTTTCTAAGTAGTCTTCATGCTCTTGCAAAGCTCTCTAGGCCTACCTTATCTCCACAGGGACGTAAAAGGGCTTTTCTATGAAGCTAAGATGAAGACATAACTGATAATTATTTTTTGAGCCATGCGTATGTAATGGGAACTTATACAACCCAACACACGTGTTTGGGCTTGGGTAGTGTTCTACACTCGATTGTTCTTGGATAGTATTTATGACCAGCATATTGAAATATCTAAAAAGTAAATAATAGACATATCGAATTTTGAGCGTAGTTTTGAGAAAACACTCGAAACGAAAGAAAGAGATGACTGTAGTTCATTTGCGCTCCTTTGTTTACATTGGCACTGAAAAGCAGTGATGAAATTTTAGCAAAAAGTTTAGAAGAAGGCACTGTTTTGGGTATCTGGCTGATTTTTAACGCACCTGGCACCTCTGTTAGAGATTAAAGGGTAAATTCCAAAACTTCGTGCACAGCATACTACTTAATGAACAGTGTAAGAAAAGATCACAAGAGCAGTAGTCTGCCCCATTTCACTATAATAGGTCCCAGAATTTTTCACTGATCTATGAGTATTCATGCGTTAGCTAATTGAATTTAGATCCAAGTAGGAGGGGTAAGATAAAAAGTTGCGTTCTGGGCACTCAAAATTCACGAAAAGTGTTGCAGCTGACGTTTCAAATATTGCAGGTCCTATTGGAAAATGGTGAATCTACATCTTATGATTACGTGATTTCAACAATACCGATCACTGATCTGGGAAGAATTTCATCCTTATGTCCTGATATAAATCTCCGGCATTCCAAGGTACCTAAAACTGCTGATAGAATTGGAAATCAATTTTTTTTTTGCGACCTAATTTGACCTTTATTATTGCTAACCAAGTGAAGGGGAAATTCCATCATTAAGATTGCGATGTTTAGCTGCCTCCAATCCCAGCTCTTGGAAAACAATTTAATAAAAACAAATGTCATTAAATTTATATTAAAATAGTACAAGATTTTCATAACCCCATAAGGGTGACCATAGTTTTTTTTGAAGCGATGAAATTTGCAAATCTCTGCAAAATGTGGTAACTTAGGGTGCGAACTGGACTTCAGGAAGTGCTTTTGAGTTTCATATTGCACGCAGCTGTAGTTCTGAACGTCGTCATCTGTGATACAAGGAAAATTTTTCATTAAATGTCACAATAAGTCCAGAAGACGGACTGTTCCGACTTTTATTCTGCATCATCCCGACAAAATTATGGGGCTATAATTCGGGAACAATTTCTACAGGTTACGATTATTCAGTGGGAATGGCATGGAGTGAATTTTAATGTGTAGTCGGAATGCTTCAACAAAGCCCGTACTCAACAGTTTGAGGGGTTCTTCTGTGGAAGTGAGACCGTCTTTTCTTCCTCATCTATCCTTTGATTGGGATAGACATTTACCTGTTCTACAACGTCGTCATCAAAGAGTAGGGTAAGATTCTGGATGACGACATCATCTTTCACCTTTCACCGGCTATCTCTTCAATATTAAATATTTTATTAGGTAAAGCTTCCGGCGTCGATCAATCTTTGGTCACGCACCACGTATTCAACTCTATCTAGCATTTTCTGAGGCCTTTAGAAATATGTGTGGCCTTTACAATGATTAGTGATTATCAATCTTTGTATCAACCCAGTGATGCTATCCGCAATAGATCTACCAGTTCACCGGCCCAAAACGATGGAAAACTTGGTGAACTTTAGGCTCGAGATCAAACTATCGACTAGATGTGCGTCGCAGAGCACCTCCAATCACTGCGCCACTTGTGTTCATGAGCACAGCATAGGATAATATTAGCTGGAAGTTCGAAAATTCCGCCTCCTCCGGAGTCTGAGGAGGTGAAATCGATTCGTATCCTGCTCACGCAAATACTGCACAGTGTTGACCTCTGAAAACAGTGAATGCCGAATTCTTCAATGATGTGTAGTGTGAAATAGTTTTTGGAGTACGATTTATTTCTACATATTGCTTATGTCATGAATATCGTAAAATTCCATAGGTAAATACGGTTCAATCTCTGGAATAAAGGGCGGGCAAACATGCGCGCTTTTCGGCAATGGAAATTTTTTTTCAAATATTTCTTATTTTCCCAGGAATACCAATGAAATAGGAGCGCATGTGGCGCAGTGGTTAGAGGTGCCCTGCGTCGCACACGAGGTCAATGGTTCGACCCCGCGCTCATGGCTCACCAAGCCATCCATCTCTCCGGGGTCGGTAAATTGGTACCAGACAGGTCTCAGGCTTGTCTGGGAGGATAAGCAGCACTGACTCGGTTCAGCGGGAGGCCACCGCGAGTCATTGTAAAGGCCAGATATGCATTCAATCACCTCAAACGAAGTTAAAAAAATTGAAGTTGAATGCATGGCGCATCCCTCAGGGATTGATCAACGCCGAGAGCTTTATCCTTTTATCCTTTACCAATAAAATAAAACTACTACACACTACCAAATGTTTGAAGCTACTAAAAACTAATATGATTCCTTTTAAGAACTATTTTCTAGCAAGGCCGCTCTTATCTATGAACCGCTATTCCATGCGAAATATTAGGGTAGTTCGCAGAGGTCGACTGATTCCTCGTAAGTGAGCTATACGTCGTTCTGAACACTTGCCTGTGGGTCATAAAAGTGTGATGTTTTGAGCGATAGAACGTCCCTTAAGGAGCCACGGATCATCCCTCATCTTTTCAATCATGAAGTTCTTCGTTGATCAAGTCACTGCACAAGCTAGCATTTGTGAAGAAAGTAATTTTCCATGATGTTGTCGGCATCGTCATGAACATCTTATCGCCAATGTTTACTAGAAAGCGGGCAAGCGGAAGTGTCCTTGGTCTTTATGCAGACGTAAGAAAACCTTGTACCTGAGGAATTTATTTAGTTGTAGTCTTTCTCACGCCTTATGTTTCCAATTATTTCTCATTTTCCCAAGAATACGAATAATTTAAAACTACTTATGCCATCGATAGCAATAGTCCACAGAGATTTGACACTTTTTGCATAGAGCTTTTTACTATAGCTGAAGGCGATTGCTTATCGGAAGCATTTGAATGAGCCACGGGATCTCTGATGTACTGTTCGTCGTCCAAAGTCATGTGTACGTGGCAACACTGAATTCATTTGAAGAGGTCGGAAGTGGACTAAGAGTATCATGTATTTTGAGAGAATTCTCAGTCTCTTTGCAGCTTCTTATTTCAGTGGCTTACGTAGGTTTCGGCGGTCTCTCCCACCTTGTTAGACCCACACCTTCCATCAGCTATCCTACGTAGTGGAGAAGTTGAAACAGACAAAGTGAAATGTCGTCTGAGTATTTTGAAGTTATCGACATTGAACTCACTTACGCTCACAGAATCGGGTTTGGTAATCAAACAGACATGTTTGCATTTTCGGCTTTAAACTGTGGTATGATATTATGATATACTGAGTGATGTAGAGTAGTGTGCAAAGAACTTTTGCGTCAACTGGGATTTGAACCCATATCTCACCCTACACGGGAGCGCGTGCTCAACCGGTCCACTACCGACACCCGTTTTAACACCATTTTTTCTACGCTACATCGCGTCTATCTGTCAACGACCTAGTGTAGGTGGTCACTATCGACATTTGTACCACTTACGCTGACAGAAATTGAGTATTGATGGCCAAACAAACGTTTTCATTTGAACGCTTTTAGCGGTGATAACCAGTGAGGTGTAGTGGTGTGGACGGTTGAGCACGCGCCCCCGGATAGGGTGAAATGTGAGTTCGGATCCCAACTGACGCAAAAGTTTTTGCATACCACTATACATCACTGGATTTATAATAATATGATACCACTTCTAAATGCGGTCAAACAAAAACAATTCTATTCTAAAGTTGATGGCACACGGCTGTCATTGTCAGTTTATCTGGACATTACCTTTCAAGTTACTGCCTTATAAAACCTTGCGTAGAATTTATTCTAACAGACTTTCAAACTCTGATTAGGTGGTTGCGATTGTCGAAAAGTACGTAAGATGCTGACATAGCAAGCCTTGCAAAAGCTGTTAAGTCTCTCAGAATATACCACAGTTTTATAACGAAGTTTTGAAATTAGTCGATCGGATGGCAGTATCATGTTTTTTCTACAAATCCAAATGCAGTGGCAACCTTGACTTTCAGTTTCATGTGCTCTCATCACCTGCTATTGAAGTCTGTGAACCAAGACTGATGTTTTTAGTGCGAGAATCAGTTCAAATCGGTGATGCAATAGGTCCCATGTCTTAGACCATATTCATCCATTCTGCTAATCAAAAAGTCTTAGGTATTTTCGTAGTTGCGAATATCCCGAATACTTTACAGGTCGTACTCGTTGGGATTGGAATGCGACGACCTCAGCCTAAATTCACAGAAAAACTTTCGTGGCTGTACTTTCCTCAGCCACATATCATATTCTATAGGTAAGATTTTTATTATGTGTTCTTACGAGTAAATTCCCACATAGTGCCTAAAAAACAAATGTAATCATAAAAATGTTCTCAGGCTTTCGCGAAAAGAATGTTGAGCTCATGTTCCAGGGTGACTTGGATCGCCCCTCGTATATCGTGCCGTGGCTTTATTTCAAGAATTGGTACATGAATATGCACGATATTTCAGGAGTATACCCAATGGGAAGGGTATTATTCCACCTGTGGCAGCATAAAAAAAGTCGAGCTCAGCCTCACGAAAGTTGGAGCATTTTATAATCGCTTTCAGCTCAAGCCTTCACCCTTTAGTTGACATCTAGAGACTTACCATCAAGTTGTGCTCGATTTGCGATCTTTAACACGTAAGAGATCTGTTGAAGCATTGAAGGAATATTTTACCAATGAGGTGTTCACTTTGCAACTTTTTTCGAGCTGTTCCAGGACTGATTACCTATTGATCTCTGCACTGATCAAATAGTTCTTTAATTTACTGAAGAATAGACGCGAGGTTATTTATAGCCAAGCGAATGAATAAGATATATATTAATCCGATCGCTCTTACCTTTTCTAACACTCATCGTTTTACGTTCATTCAAGAGTGTATGTGGTGCGTAGTGGTAATGGGAACTCGACTCAAGCGGGAGTTGTACGCGCGTTTTATCCATACCGCCGCCACGTGCCCACTACTACACCAACGAGGTCATCGCTTCACTACGACTCTATCTTCGATATATCCTACCGTAGCTGTCGGCAATCATTTTTTAACGAGTACGGTAAATTAAGCACATATCGGCTCCAAACCCAGTTAAGCTGATGGCTATTTAGAGTGAACAATGTATCTGAACTCATTAATTTCATTGCTTTTCTAGAAATGGTATATGTCGCAAAGATTGTTCAAGAGTATAGAATGGTTCCTTGACTTTCATTTGTTCAGCCTAAAATGGTACTATTAAGATACGATTGGATATACGAAGCATGAGTGTTAGCAAAGCGGTGGTCTCAGTGAAATAGTGGTAGCAAACGCCTCGGTGATCCGCGGGTTCATCTCTTGCCTGAGTTGAGTGCTTTTCAGACTACTCCACATTTCTCAGTATATAAGAATAAAGCTATTTCTTCGTTAGAAATGGTAGGAGTAGCGGCGAACCTCTTTAGTTGAAATGCCAATTGTCTCGCAGAGCACCACAAACAACTGCGGCTTCTTGATTACTACATCGGAAAATGAGTACCTCAGCGTACTAAAATCTTGTAGAGCTCTGGTTAAGTTCAAAAATCCAAATAATTGAACCCTAAGTATGAGAGCAATGTCGTCACCTGTGATCTCGGGCCATATCTATGGTCGACATTCTAGTCTGTGCCAAGCCCACTTCTCCTCCAAGTGAGACTCTGTGCGGAAGGTGTTTGATAATGACTGGAGGACTTACAACATAAAATTGATGAATGTTATAGGTCGTTCCGTAAGTATTGGCACTAGAGCAGTAGACACCAGATTTATACACCTAAAATAATTAAAGTAACATAATCCTGATATCCTTTAGTTGCGCATTTTCTTGCAGACAATATTACTTACATCTTATCTATACTTGATCTAAGATGTGACTGCTGTGTGAACAATCTCGCTTGCCACTTATGAACAATTCTAATGGAGCTTGCGCGATGATACTGATGCAGTAAGTACGGTTAGGAAGTGGTTTGTGATGTTCAAAGCTGGAGAGAACAGTTTGGGGGATCATCTCATTCAGCCCGTCCACAGGAAAAATCTATTAATCTTGCGAGCCGCCTCACCAGCATTTTCCCGTATGCTCTAGTCGCATAAGAATAACAAGCGAATTTGTGACCACGACAACCCAATTTTGAAGCGAGTCCGAAAAAAGTTGCAAATCGAATTATACACAAGAAAATGCGCAGTTGAACGACATCAAAATCACGTAGTTTCATACACTTCGAGTTAACTTGGTGTTCATTACTCTAGTGTCATTCATAGAATGACCTAATAAATAGAAGCAGTATGCTACGATAGGACTTTGTGTAGTAAATTCTTTCTGTTTGTGTTATTACAGTTCTTGACTAAGCAAATCACGTGCACTTTGATTCTTAGGCTTTGAAGAAGACGAAGTCAGCGAAGCGTTAGTAAATGATTAATCCACTAAACAACCACTTATCTGTTCATCAAAGCAATAAATTTTCCCAAGCTTATTCCTTGTTTGCTGATGAATGAGCGTTATGTAGTTTTTTGAAAACTGTTATAATCCTTAACGCTACTGTGATCCAGGTGTACATTCATGTCGAATTTCAATGAACGCCTCACTCCAAATGCCGCACTTTTCTGGTCAGTTCTGGTAGAAATCGGTATGAAAAGTTGATGAGCCCGTGAATGAGCCAGCAGTTCTTGAGACCACAATCAATGGTGAGTGCACGAACAGTAAGGAATTAGAAGTACACATATACATCAAGTGGTTTTGTTTTTTTTTAAACGGTGCAACATTATCACCAAATATTACAGATCTCACTGAACATGGTATCATCTATCCAACAAGCAGAATTGAGTCGAAATGGATCCATGTGCTTCCGTACGGCTACCCTATTCCAACCTTGGATCGAGATGATGAGCTCAGCAGAGCTCATCATAAACTAGAAAAAGCGAACATTTATTCGCGTGGGAGGTAATGATGAATATTTGTATATCAGTCGGTGGACCTAACTTTTTGGTCGCTTTATTTACGGCTGACCTTCATTGTGAAGTTTTCTCGAAATAAAAACAGGTTCGGAAGTTGGCGCTACGAGGCTGCAAACCAAGACCACAGTTTTACAATGGGCACGGAAGTTGTCGATAAGATCCTTTTTGGTTTAGAAGAAAGCGTTTAGTTCTGAACTGATATGTTTATAAATTTTTTTTCCAGAATTTGTGCTAATATACACATTTGAACAGATTTGAGGGTTCAATAAATGTTGAACCTGTTAAGTGTACTGTGTACAAAGTAATTTGAGTAAATTATCATTCATAGTTCACCTGTATCACCTGTATCACCTGTCGTCCCGTTGATCGTCGAGTGACTCGAGCGGGTACCAGCAACTCTTCCATTTTTCCCTATCGCGCGCAAGAGTAGCCCAGTGGGTCCTCCTTGCTCTAGGAATTCGCTGAGCATCATATCTTTCTTCCATCGCTTTCGTGAAGAAATCGGACCAACGGGTCAGTGGTCTTCCTTTAGAGCGCTTGACGTCCCGAGGAATCCAGTCGGTAACGGCTCTCGTCCATCGGTTGTCGTTGAAGCGCATCACGTGTCCGGCCCACCTTATTTTCGATATCCTGGCGTGTAGAACGGCGTCTCTGATTTTCGATCGTTGACGTAGGTCGGAAGTTCGGATCCTTTGTCTCATTTGCGAAATACGAGATACTCCTAGCATCGACCTTTCGACTGCGCGTTCGATAACGGCAAGTGATCTTTCATCCTGCTTACGTAGCGACCAGGTTTCTGCTGCATACGTTAGGGCAGGATAATTGTCGAGTCGAAAAAGTGGGCACGGAGTCGGATGTTCTTTGTCCTCTTCACTACATCTTCGATGCTCTTAAACGTTCCCCAAGCCGCTCGTTTCCTCCTGCTCAACTCTGGGGCTAGGTCGTTCATCATGTTGATTTCACGACCTAGATAGATGTAACTGGAGCATTCGGAAATTGTCGTTCCGTTGAGCGTGAATGGGGCATTAGAAACCCATCCGTTCCTTATGAACATTGTTTTCGTTAGATTCAGTTGAAGACCGATCTTTCCACAGGCGTTGTCGAAATCGGTCAACATTCGTTCCGCTTGGCTGATGTTTGGTGTTATGAGAACGATATCGTCAGCAAAGCGAAGATGGTTTAATTGTCGACCGTCAATTTTCACTCCCATTTCGTCCCATTCTAATGTTCGCATGACGTTTTGTAGGGTGGCAGTGAATAGTTTTGGCGATATTGTATCGCCTTGTCGAACCCCTCTTCTTACGTCAATGGTGATATTGTTGTAGAATGGAGATATTCTGGTCGTGAAATCTTTATAAAGCTCACGAAGGATCATTATGTACCGAGTAGGGACGCCCTGGTTATCCAGAGCCTCTATAACCGCTTCTG